TGACATTAGAACAAAAAGTCCATACAAGATGTTTATTCGTATGTCATCACAGGAAAATTTGGCCAACCCAATGTGCTCACAAGCAGTGTGTGGAAGAATGTTACTTTTGCAAAAAGTCAGCCTTTTCAGAAGAAATACTATGGGGAACAATGTACAGTAACTTCTCAGAAAGACAGTTAGACCAATTCTCCCAATTAATGTATGTGTAAGAATGGTGGTGTATCTCAGTGGGTAGCATATGGCAATGTGGCGGTCAAATGCCATCGCCAGCAAGATCCCTGACTCAAAGACAAAGGTGGAATCGATGAAGAATACTTGAGCAATGCAGCGATCCAGGGAGATCCCCTGAGCATGGAACCAGAAGATGGCCAAGGCCTGAGGCACTGTGCACGTGGAGAGGACAATGTCTGCTCCGGCCAGCATGCTGAGGAACAGGTACATGGGTTCATGGAGGCTGCTCTTTGTGAGGATAACAATGATGAGCAGGCTATTCCCAAGCAGGGCAATGACATAAGAAATGAAGAAGGGGATGGAAATCCACATGTGCTGGTCCTCAAGGCCAGGGATGCCCAGCAAGCGGAACACAATGTGGCTAACACTAGTGTGGTTTAAGGTAGTCACATGTGGGGAGACCACCACAGACATCACTTCTTATTCACAGACACAGGAAAACACAGTATTCCTTGTAATATTCTTTCTGAAGGCACAAGACCTTTTGACATATTCCTTCTTCTTTGAACATGCAAATAAAAAGAAACATATAAGATAATAGATTATAGCCTCTGCATTAATGAGTGACAGTCTGATTAAAAGGTATACATATTCCCAGCTAATCAAATAAAACATTTTATTGTATGTATTTCTCCTACCAACAGAGGATTATGAAAAGACAAAAGGGAATTATTCTATGTATCTGGAAAGGCTGTAACAAGTGTTTCTTGAACGTGAAGAACTTAAACTTAGCTTTGTGGTGGGTACTTTATCATACAGAAAAGAAAGAAAATAAAGAGAAACAACAAAAGAAAACGTGGGTATTCAAAACAAAGTATAGCATCTTCGTGAAACAGTGTCCAGCTCTGGGTGGCTGTGCATAGGGAATACTGGAAAAAAGCAGGGTAGATGTTTGTTCAGACAAATTTGGTATACTTGACGGAAATGAGATTTGAAATCTCTCTGACTTCACCATATACAATCTGCTCGCTTGTGAAGAGAATCAAGGGAACTTTAAGAGGTAGCATTAATAGGGCCTGTGTGCCTGAGGTGAGGCACTGCTCATGCTCACACCTTAAGGAACTAAGTTTATAAATGACTAAAACTTGAAAGGAAGGCATTGTTGCTGGGAGGCGTTGTGCATGATAATTTAAAGCTTTTTCTTTGGGTGGAAATTCTATCATTTAGTTCTTAGTGTGCATTCATTCATTCATTAACTCTGTCATTTAGGAAGTAGTAACTGTTTTTCAGGTACCATATTACAAACTGTAGATGGGGGTGGGGGGGATTTGACCAAGTCCTATGAACTTAGGTTTGACATAAACAGATAGGTTGAAGAGCTAAAGACATATGTTAATTCCTTCTAATAAAAAAGTATTTTAAAATATCTAGCTCCGTAGCTAAGTTATAGCTCATGCTCAATAACATTATTTCTTCCACTCCAGTTACCTACATGATGCCCATAATTTTCCTTTCTGGGGAAAATTAACAATTACCATCCTCCAAGTGCTGGAGGAACATGGTCTGTTATCAGAGTCACCTACAAAAGCCCAATCATCTGACCTAGTTACGGTACTGTGTCCTGCAGAAAATAGTTATAGATTCACAGGTGGTTGTAAAAAAAACAGAATGGCTATCAACAACAAATCAACAAACGACAAGTGCTGGCGAGGATGTAGAGAAAAGGAAACCTTTGTACACTGCTGGTGGGAATGCAGACTGGTGCAGCCACTATGGAAAACAGTATGGAGTTTCCTCAAAAAATTAAAAATGGAACTGCCACTTGATCCAGTGATCCCACTTCAAGGAATATATCCTAAGAAACCTGAAACACCAATCAGAAAGAATATATGCACCATATGCACCCCTATGTTCATAGCAGCGCAATTTACAGTAGCTAAGATCTGGAAACAGCCCAAGTGCCATCAGTAGAGGAGTGGATAAAAAAGCTGTGGTGCATTTATACCCTGGAATATATAAAACAGAAGGATCTCTTACCCTTTGAGTCAGCATGGAAGGACCTGAAGAGTATTATGCTAAGCAAAATAAGCCAGTCAGAGAAAAATAAGTATCACATGATCTCACTCATATGTGGGATCTAATGAACAAAATAAACTGATGAACAAAATAGATCCAGAAACATAGAAGCATAGAACAGACTGATAAATCTCAGAGGGGTTAGGAGGGTTAGGAGAGATTAACTGGGGAATTTATATGCATATGTACATAGCCCATGAACACAGACAATAATGTGATGAAAGCCTGAAAAGGATGGGTGTGGGGTGGAGGGAGTCAATGGGAAAAAAAGGAGGGACATCTGTAATAATTTCAACAATAAAGATAACATTTTTTTTAAAGTTCTCTCCAGTGAAGGCAGCTGACTTCCTGCATGAAAAGAAAAGTGGGTGGTACCAGAGGGATGTGAGAGCTGGTGTGTGTCCCCACAGACCTGATTGGGAATGTAAAGGGGGGAAATGGCAAGAAAGAAAAGGCCACAGAAGACACAAAGCAACAAATGCAGAGCTGGAAAGGAGGAAAGATTATGGAAGCTGGTAATGGCCATGTGTTTGAGGAAAGGGAGCAGGAGAGGAAATTGTGTTCATTGGAGCCAAAGAGAGAAACCAGGGAGCTCAAAGGTTGAAGATATGCCTGTTTGATTGGTCTCCTGTCCAAGGTAGAGTGACTTTGGTCTGACACAAGTTTATCTATGTGCTCCACTCAATGCTCTTCCCCCTTTCCCCTTTCACAACAGCCCAAGGTGTCCTGGTTCACTCCCCAAGTCCTGCTTTGGGAAGGCCAGCACAGATCCTTGTCATTCTCAGGGCTCTTCTCATATTTGCCAAGAGGGGTCTGCAGTCTAAGTCAATATCTTTTTTGTTTTCTCATGTCATCTCATTATTAGGACACTGTCATATATTGGACTAGAGTCCTGGTGCACAAATTCGTGCACAGGTGGGGTCCCTTGGCCTGGCTGGCGAGGGGAGGGGCTGTGGGAGGTCAGGGAGGCTGATCGGGCCCCAATCCGGCCAGTTGGAAGCTGCACAGTCAGGTCGAACTCTCGCCCAGTCAAACCCCTGCCCAAGGGGACAATTTGCATATTAGCCTTTTATTATATAGGACTACTTCTCTTTATTTGCCAAACTTCATTAACCTCAGCTACCCATATACTAGTACTCTCAACCTCCCTTCCCACATCTTACCCTCCACTTATGCTGTAACCAACCAGAAAGATGCCTCTCATCTTTATATTTCTGCATCCATATATATCAATAACTTCCCTCTGACCTGTATGGGTTGGCCAGCTCAGTCCTTACCCTGATCCTGATACCACTCCACCCATAGATGTCTATTTCACTCACCAGCTTTTACTGAGTCTTCAGGAACAGACGTGAGATTGGAGATGAAATTCAGTTTGTTGGGGACCAGGCAGTTGAGCTATTTATTCTCTTTCATGAGAGTCCTTGAAGGAAGCACTTACATCAGGACTCCAGGGGCACAGCTGTCTCCAACAGCCTCATCCTCTTCCCAAAGGCCTTATTCCCAGGTCTATTTCCCCCTCCCTAGAGCTTCTCCTATTTTATCTCCTGCTCCTCCTCACATATCCTGAAATCCATCCCACACCAAGTGTTCACATTTATGAGGTTTTACTATAAGAAAATCTCTCCCATCTAAACCAGCTTTTCTGCAAGCCTGTTTTAATACCAAAATCAATATTAAAGTTATTTCCAATCTCTAATATTAATCCACGCAAGAAATATGTAAAAATAATTTTCAATTTGTCATGGAAAGGATGATGTTTCCGTTATAGTCATCCCTGGAGTGGTCATAAGATTCATATTCATAAATAATGAGGGTGTTTTTTGGTTTTGGTTTTGGTGTGATTTTTGTTAATCTTCACCTGAGGATATTTTTTTCTATTGCTTTCAGAGAGAGTGAAAGGGAGAGAGGGAGAGAAAAAAAATGGGTGTGAGAGAGACACATCTACTGGCTGCCACCCTCACGCACCCCGCCAGTGGGCAGAAAGCGAAACCACAACCCAGGTATGTGCACTTGACTGTGAATTGAACCTGCAACACTTCTGTGCACAGGCTGACACTCAAACCACTGAGCAACACCATCCACGGCAATAAGGAGTTTTAATTATTTCCTAAGGGTACATAAATATTTGTGCACAATATATAGAAGAAATCACTCTTGACATTTGTGACATATTTTCATTTCATTTGTCTGCCTAGTGTATCAATCTGTTTAGTACTTGGCCACCAAAACTCTACATTTATGGTGGCTGGGAAAAAATTCTGTTTTCTTTATATTCTTTTGTAAGTATTTAATCTAGATTTTACTTATCCTGAATGTATGGTGTGAAATTTTTTTCAACTTGGAAATAACTTTATATTCTGATTATAAAGGTAATCTTGTACCTTACTGTTTAAAAATCAGATAATAAGACAGGAAAAACAAAGTAACCCCACCTTTATGAAAAAAGGAGTATTTCTTAATATAAATACATACAGAAAAATTTTTATCAGCCAGTCTTCATGCTCTCCTAGCAATCTTACTTTTATTAGTTAAATAATTCTATAAAATTAATGCACTTTATTATTCATGCATGTCTTTGTGGATAGAATTGGCACATTTGTGCATCTCACACTCAATGTTTAAGGAGTCCAAATGAGTATCTATTAAGACAGCAGCATGTACAGAATTCAGAAGTAATCAGACTTGTGAGAAGCTATTGTGACCGTCTCAAGACACAATTCCGCTTTGTATAATACTTTATAGTCAAATAGGTGATATTTGCTAAATTTTATATTTCCTAGAAATTCTAAGATCAATTTATTATTCCAAAATGACCAATAAATGCTCAAAAATGCATTGCACTTTCTTGTAAAGTTAAATATACCTCTCTCTTCTCAGTTTCAATAAGTTTAAATTAACAGCCATAACTTTCATGTGACCAGTAGACTCTTATTAGAAAATTCTTAAATCCCAGTTTCTGAGATTTGTCTCCTCACACTAGTTCACATTATGGTAACTATGAATTTCAACTTCTTATTCCATAGATTTGACAATTGTTACTGTTGATTTGCTTCAAATTGGGGGCACTGCAAATGTGTCAGCAGAGGGGATTATTGAACTATATTAACAGCAATTTTCAACTGGTGTGCCACCAGAATTTTTAAAACAGGCAATACATGACTATTTAGTCCAGGGCACTGACCTCTTTTCCCTTAGACTGTCAAATTAAGAAATGACAACAGCCAACACAATAGCTGTCCGGTGCAAATATATCAAAATGATACCTATTTTTGTCAGATCAGCAAAATATATATATTTTTGGTGTGCTGCAGAATTTTAGTAATTACTTTATGTGTGCCATGAGATGAAAAAGTTGAAAATCACTGCTTTATAACATAGTATTAGAACAAACTGCC